CTAGTAAAGCGCTTTACAAATACAGACCATTTACCATGATCTAAATTTTTCAGCTGCAAAAGAGACATTGGATTTCATAGATTAGACTCATCTTTGCACTAACAGATAATAATATACAATCATAATAAAATGATGTTCCCTTCATAGAGTATTTTAATAACTTTAAGGATACATAATAATAATAATAATAATAATAATAACAGAATAATGAAATATCAAGTAAAGCTACAAGAGTTTGTCAGCACCAAAGTTAAGTTAGACACAAAATGAAAATGAGGTGGTGAAGGTGGGTTGCAAAGTGGTTTGTATAGCCAGGCTAAAGCAGTTTAAATGGCTAACCCGTTTTTTCCAAGTTGGATTTGTAGAAACCTGATGTGAGCTGGCACTGACCACATTTATTTAATCTTTTTATCGTATTTTAATTTGGATCATTGGTCAGACAAAACAAAATATTCAACTGGTGTTTTAAAAGTTAGCTTGAATGATTTATTCAACCAACAATTACAAAGTTATCTATGAAGGACTAAATGTTACGTAGTTTGTTTATTCAGTGTTCAGTCTGTGATTCTTACAGTGGGTCGAATGTGTGATCAGGTTCAGGACACTCAGGCTTTGTATCAAACGCTCAGTTTAACAGTTTCATCGTTTTTGTAAAACTGTCAGAGGTGCTGATTAAGTTTGTGTTATTGTTTAGTTTGTGTTGGCGTGTTGTTCCTCCGCAGTGTTTAAGTTAAAAAATGTTGTTAAAGCTTTCAGAAATGTCCTTAGACATCTTAAAATCGTGTTTGCCCAGTGACCTTCGTGTCCGTGACTCAGTTCTCTGTGTGCTGAGTGTCGTTTTTCATGCCGTGTTTCGGTTTCTTCCACCCACTGCGCACCACCGTTACAAAAGCAGCTCCACCACTGAGCCTCCGAGCTGAGCAGCAGCTATCAGCATGAGACAGCTGTGACAGTTTGCTGGCAGTCAACAGTTTTGATGGAGTTTCTTTTAGTTGGCACGAGGTCACTCAGTGAAGTTCAAACAAGCCACAAACTACAACCTGTGATTGATCCATTTCTCTGGAAACAGTACCGTAGTAATCAAACAAAACGTGAACTGGAAAATGGATATATTTGATAATTAGTTGCCAAAAAGTTATCTTCCTGGTTGCTTTTAATATCAGAGCATTTCCTCTCTTAAATATGGATGCACAGTTTCATCAGAAACCATGATAGGACAAAGCCACAAACACAAACAACAACAAAAACCTTACATATGATTGAAGCTGTAGGGAAAAACCTATCAGACCAGGTTATTTATACACATAGGTACACGCGGATTGAAAAATGAGCTGATAATGTGGAAAGGAAGCAAAGGCAGGAAGTACAAATACAATGAGGCATAGAGAGATGAGAACTAGAAATACAAATGAGAACAAAAAACTAACATTTCAAGGTCCGTGACAAAAAAGATTTTAGTGCCTACACCAGCAAACTAAGCAAGAACTTAAAGGACGAAACAGGACATGAAGCAGGACATCGTAAAGATTCTGACACCATCTCCCCTCCAGCCTCTTAACCCTTTAAAACCGGCCCGCTCCGTTTTGCGTAACTATTTTTAAATCCCGGTAGCTCTGCAACCACGT